TTTAAAGAAAATCTGAGATATGAAGGGAAAAAAGTGTGCGTTTGGCGTGGAATGGCCCGTATATAGGTTTAGATTTACTCATCAGATAAGACTTATCACCTTTGAATCATCTCCTGCCAATTTTTCGAACTGAAGTTCTAAAAACCGTTTCAAACCATCTCTTCGGTCGTCAACTGAGGAAAGAAATCGTGATACGGCTATTTCGAATGGCTCGGTTGACTCTGCTAATAGTTCAGCAGCACCAACGTAACTTTAAAGAAGTAACTAGAAGCGTCTCAAGATATTACAACTACAAATTTTCAGGAAAATAACGACCAAAAACACATGGTCACTAGTATATATTTAGCGTCACTTTAATAATATTGAGTAGTAATATTTAGAACTATACTTGTTTTGAGCAATAAGTTTGTCTGCCTCTTTCTTCAGTACGAGTTGATGAGGGTCTTTATCTTTAAGTTGGCTAGTAATTTTTTTTGCCTTTTTGAAGTCACCTTGTTCGAGATAGATTGCCCAAACGTTCCTTTAATAATTAACATCCTTCTCCGAAAATCAGTAAAAATGTAGCGTCACTTTAACGGAAGACAGAAGTCACCAGATAAAATATTCTTAAATTTGGTAAATCTTGAGCCTTAGAAAATGTGCTTAGTAAACACCTGTTTTCCTCATTCGGCTGGTATCGCGAAACTGATGAGTCAGTGTACACCCAAATCATTTCCGTAATCGGATCTCGGAACATACCCTTTACTTGGCTAGTATGCTAAATAATTTAATCATGCAATGAATGGAAGAAAATCAATAAACTCAAAATAATGCTCCATCAAAGATACCATCCCAACAGGCTCCTCATAAACGCATTTTTGATTCAGCAGAGATACTGCTTCAAGGCGGTCGCTGTATAATAACAATACGTGATACTCTGTCACCGCAATATCCAATGGGTTGTCATAGCGTCCGTTAACCAATCGATGTCTAAAGACAAAAAAAAAAATAGTGTCCGTCTAGAACAATTAATCAACTAACCTGGTGGAAACCAGAGCCTTCAATTCTGCTGAAACGCCTCAGAAATACAAAGGAATTTGGCTGTAGTGAGACTAATCAATAAAGGCTAAGTTCAGCTTGAAGCATACTGTACATGCGGCCCTTCTATAATCATGCTATAGCCATCCTGTGCGGTTATATTGATCTTTCCAATTGTAAATCCATGTGCACCCAACCAGCAGTACTGAGTTGGTGGAGTACCATTCACTGTCTTCGGGTGGATAGCAAAACCACTAGGCAGAGTCCGTTGAGTGTCGTCCATACAATGGAAACGAATTTTATCTTCAACTACGTTTGTTAAATCAGAAAATGTGAAAAAGTAGTTCAGAAAAACTTGCTTATAAACTCGATCTTTCTAGTGACACTCAAACCCACAATATAAAACAAAAGAATGATTGCTAAAATATTAGCTAAGCAAAATTTTTAGCAATCTTCAAAAAATTCTAAAATTTTAAAACATCAAATTACTTTTCCAGTAAGTTTGAATAAAGGAATTGAAAGTTTTACCTTCACACGAGAAGAAAGGTTGAAGCGTAGGAGTGAACTGTTCGACAAAAGCTGAAGTCCACACAGTGCCAACGACCGGTTGGAAATATGAGTGCTCACTTTTATTCAAGACTGCTGTTAAACAATATAATCTTCCTGGGAAGCAGATACATAGCGCCCATCTTTAAAAGCTTCATAAGCATTAAACAGTTCGACTACCGTATAAAATAAAAATTTTTTACATTTTTTATACATATAAAATTTAAAAGTTTCTCTTCAATCAAACCAAAATTATAACCTCGAGACTAATCGCTACTCAGGAAATATTACAAAGAGAAACGCATCTAGGAGTGCCTTTTCTAAATATCGAACTATGAGTTTAATTGGAAAAGCAAACACTACCTAGAGTCATCACACTGAAACAACTCTACATTTGTGATTGGCAATTCTTTTACACCTGTTAAACATTGGCTGAGCTCCTTCATGTATAAAACGCTCCCACCAGATTGAATAGAAGTTTCATACAAACTACCTAAAAAGCTTTTTTAGTCCAATGGCAGCCTAACAATTTAAATACAAAGAAGTTAATCACCTGTAGTTTAAAGTGAGTTTATCAAAGCCTAAGCAACCACGTTTGGTGTGAAGTTCAAGAAAAAAACCTGAAGGAATGAACTTTGTGTCAGCGTTGAATGTCATGTTTTAAAAAAGTCAAAGCTGACCTTTAGTTGTTCCAAGTGCGATAAAAGCCGTCTCTGATTCAGTGCCCAAAGATGAATTCCAGCCAATCGCAGTGATAACATGTCCCTAAAAATGTGCTGTTAATTTACGTTATTAATCAGATTTAAAATACGACCAATAAAACAGTGCAAAAACAATTTCTCTCATACCTTTGCCCGCTTGAAGGGCTTCTGCTGATCATTTTTCAAATTGACATAAAAATTCTCCCCACTAGTGGAACTCAAAATTGCATGATATCCAGCTACGTCGATATGTACATAAGCTATTCGGTCATGGGTTGAAAGAGGTAAGGCGATATCTGAAGCATAAGCCATTAGCTACACAAACCGGTTTAAATTCCAGAAACGACGCTAGTCTACCACGAGTTACGATTTAACTAAGATAGCTATATCATTCAAATGGTCCCTATATCAGCAGCAAAAAAATAAATAAATAAATAATAAAACAAGCCTGTTTGTTTGCTAACATTCTGAACCGATATATGTAGAATATCTCGAGCATTTGTCGCTAAAAGCACTTGTCCATTGCTTGAAACGACGTGGGAAATGTTACCCTTTGGTCTTAAAAATTACTGCGGTGCATAAAATACGAGCCACTGAGAAACAACAGAACACCAGAGAAAAGTAATAACCTGAAGTCAATCAGCTTCCCAACAAATATACCATCTTGCTCTTTCGAAGCACTGCTAGCCATTAACAACTCCAAATAAAAAAAAGAATGCGGATCACCAATGCGCAGGAGGGCAAAAAGGCAATTTTACTGTCTATTAAAAAAATTGCCAGATGATAACACCGTGTAACACGTCAATGAAATGCAAATATATACTTTCTTTGAGACATTTACAAGCGCCGTATAAACGAACTTTCTTCCTCAAAACACTTTAATCCCAAACTGCTGCAAACGTCTACAAGATTGAAGAACATTACACTGTTGCATTATACATAATTCCCGCATAAATGAAATCTCATCACTTTACCAAATTAATCAACCAAAACCAAACCCTGTATTTTAAATCAAGAAAAACTACGCTTCTCTCAGCATAAATCCCACAAATGACACCCGCATGCAGCACTCGCAATGACTTATTAGAGCGACATCAACTCCTCATCTTGTACCAGTCTCCAAATACACTCATCATAAAACTTGAGTATGATAAAACGCCGGAACTTTTGATGCGAGACGACACTGTTACTCCTCAACACCTGCTCAGAACCACCAAGGGAAGCCCCAGTACCGTTAACAAACTTAAGTAACATCCAAACCGATGCACTAATACATGAGATGCCACCAAATCAGTTCAAAACTACCCCGAAAAACAGCCGGAACTTGCTCCAACGCCTGGAACCACAACAGCATACCTTACTCATTGCAGTCCAACAAGAATCAGATAACTTCCAGCCCACGAAAAGTGAACACGAAAACTCTCGCTAAAAGTTGCCTTAAGCCAACAACTAAAACCAACATACATGGAACACCACGGCCCTGCCAAAACCCTCTCGTCCAGAAGTCCAGCTAAAGTAAATATCAAGCGCTTGAATAGTTTCAAGTGAAAAAAACACAAAGCAACCTTTAATGTATACGTCCTTTACGGTATCGTGAGACGGTTAAGAGTAATCAAAAACGCAATTACCAAATGTTTCATAATTAAACATTAGGAAGGAAAAAGCAACAAGTGCCAAGAAATCCAACACCTAATTACAGAAAGAACTTTCGACAAGCGAATACAAGTTTTCAACACACTGCCGTCTTTCACAAATTTTCTTGCAAGCCAATTTTCACTGACACTAAATGTAGCACCCCCCACCCCTTTTATACGGTCCAAAAAAAGGTCAAGGAAGCTAAAGCACAAAAAATCACATGGCGAAAGAAATTCGGAAACGCCTTCGCACTACAGCCAATAAAAGTCGCAAGTAAACAATTCATCGTGCTGGAGGACGCATGGATACAGAGAGGGATCTCGCAACAGATTCCCAAAAACACTACAGTTTAGAATGTGACAATATCAGAAAATCGCCTTTTCTCGGACTTCAGATATGATGAAAGTAACACTCCTGCAAGAATAGAACGTTTACAAAAAACTAGTGACAGGCAACGAAATAAACTATGACTAAATCTCAAATTTCTTCAATTTTGAATAGCCGAAAATCAGTTTAAGATGGTTTCATGAAACTTCCACATCGCAGGCGGCCACTTGATTCTACTCCTAGAAGACAAATAGGACCTAAGAAGTTTGATAGTCGAGAAGCTCGTCTGCTTACCTCTGCTGAGTTCGTCAAAATGAGACAAAAAATTTCTTCTCTCCTCAACTGTCCCGGTACGATTCTCAGATAAAACTTTCCAAAGAAAGATAACAACATAGCTGGTCCACAGAGCATTGGTCACAGGACTGTATTTCTTCCAATCATCTCTAAAAAAACTAATTCAAATAAAAATAGAAAGAAATGTTCAAAGATTAATTTCAATTTTCAGTTCAAAGCGGATCCAGAAGCTCAGTCTGACAAACAATGTTAAACCTCAGGCTACTTCAAAAAATTGATTTTTCAGAAAATGCATTTACATCTGTACAAATTTCCGTACCCCTTAACAGGTTCCAAATTCTAAACTAGTTAGAAAAAAATCGCTTTCACCTCCAACAAAGAAAAAGAGTTGTATGATACTTCATCTTAACTTCTCACCCGTTCGCATCCCTCATCCTTCGATAGTACTCACAATGTAAAGGTCCTTCTCCAAGAAAAATTTCCTCGTCTTCTTTGAGGTCGTAATAGATTATGTGATCACCTCAACAACAAGCAATGAATTTACAACAGTCTTACAATACAATTACTGTACAAAAAAAGAATAAATGGCACAGCGGGTGAAGAGGTCAGACGTAAGCTCTACGAAAGAACAAATTCCACAAGTGTAGTGAAGTTATAATCACCAATTAATGTAAAAAAAATGATGGCACAAGAAGCCAACATACAGCGAGACAGTATTACAACATAATAACCTTTTCTTAATCGAGATAGAGAAAAATCAATAAGCTTCACACTCACTCCATAGGTTCGGATCTTGACGAGATCACCACTCAGCACTTCCCTGAATCAATATAATTTTAAAAAACTGAAACTGGAATACTGAAAGAGATAGTTAAAACTATCACCAACTCTCTAAACTCGTCGACGCAATCTGCGACTAATATGTTACCACAGTGTAAGTCCCTGTGCTCAAATTCCAACACTTCTTCCGCGACCGCAAGAGCATATGCGATTTGGTAAACAACGCTGTATGCCTGTGAAACACTTTTCGGCTGCAATATCAAAAGAACTTAAATGAAGGAAGCAGATGCCTGTAAGAATTACTACTGTCAAAAATTTTAAAAGATTACCCGTACATATACATGGGCCATTCCAAGCCAAATCACACACTTTTTTCCTTCGAATCTCCAATTTTTTTTAAATTTGCTGATTAGTGGCCTAGCCCAGTATAAAAAAAGCCGAAAAGAAAACCTGGAAAAGTGAATTCCCCGCCAAGTTACATCCACCTCCTAGTTACAAAATTTGCCAGGTCGTTGACTGACATGTCTACTCTTGCAACCTTGTAATTTAGCTCGTTCCCAATAGAACTTGATGATTTTTTGTTTTACAGTTACTTCTTGAGCTTTTAGAAGCATATCAAATAATTTAATTCTGTTAAGAAATCACAAAAATACAGTAAAAATAAGATTTCAGACGAACATTAGAAAAACAAATCTCTGTATTTTTTAAAAAGGACATGTCTTGTGTAAAACAAAAAAAATTTGGACAAATAGACCGACGGATGCTACATCCTTAAATGCTTTAGTTCTTACTTTAAATTTCTCCAGATCTCTACCACCTATATCGTACGCAAGAAGAACAAATTTTTGAATTCTACTGAATTCCCGGGGACAGTCATTTATACTTTCTCCATCATAATTATCCCATGCCTTCAAAAGAGGTGTAGGGTAGCGACCTTAAATACAACCACAGTTTAAGAACTAGATGAACCTAGAGGAAATTCAAGATAACTTTATACTGAAATAAAAATCAAATAGGAGAAAAAAACCTTTTACAACAAATGCCCCTGGAAACTTAATAAAACCATTTGTTGCATTTATACCAGGTATACATAAAGACTGTAGCATATCGCTTACGATAACTTCAGGAGCCATGTCTGCATACTTTTTTTGCTTTTCACCATTAATTTCGTAATCGCCCTCTATTGGCACCACCTAAGAACGAATACTGATAGAAAACAACACTGAAGAGTTCGGTGAACTAAAGCTTAAAAACTTACTTTCAGGGCAACTTCTTGTCTGTCCAGAAAACATTTGAAAACTTCGCCAAAACTCCCCTCACCAAGCTTGACTGCATCAGAAAACTTTCTGCAAATTAACAAATAGAAGGAAGCTTGCAGACTAAAAAAAGAACAATACTGGCTGTCCAAACAAAAACGGTAAAAACAGAAAACAAAAAATAATTTTTAAAAATTTTATAAAAAAGTATATGGGAAACTCACAAATGAAATTTTTTTTGAGCAACCGTCCACGTGACAACTGAATCTTGGTGGCAAAATTCAAGCAACTTTTTTTCAAAATCCAATGGTGAAGTCTTATATAATCCACCAAAATCCCTAGTTGAATTCATCACACCAGGTAATTGCTAAACTTTTTCAAGATTGGTAATTATGAACAGCAGTAACACAACAAATTCAACTTCAAAAACCCTGCTCCCCACTCCTAGTTTCATTTAAGCTTGAAAAAAATTCAATGTGAAATATTCAAACCAAAGAATGAATTACCTGAACCGACCTTGAATATGATACTAGACTACTTTCGGTTACTGACAAATTCCTGAAAATCTACTTAGCCAGAATTTTTCAGGGAAAAAACAGCCAGATATAGTGAAAAATATTTTAACATTACAAGATCCAGCATAAACTTAAAACCAAAACAAAAATCTGGAGAAATACATTTCAAATATTTTCTAGCAGTTTAAGTTTCTTAGAGTGATAGAACACAAAAGATGGACGATCTATTTAAGAACATAAAAACCTCGAAGTGGCAAATGTTTGAACGGATTCATCTTTCCGAAGGGCCACCTTATGCGTGTTTGTTTCCCCGGCTTCTTTATTTTCCGCTTTGGAACTTCGAACTCTCTTGGCATCTTTTCCGATACTTTTGAGGACTCGCTGTAAACATGTTCAAAATTTTTCGCAAAATAACCACATGTAAGTAAATTTTAATGTATTTTCGTATCAAATATAACTGGTGGTATTATTACCTGAAGTGGAGTAGAAACGTGAGCTGCATCAAAAGAAATCTCAGCCAGTTCTTCAGCAAGTTCAACAGTACTATCTTCTTTACTTTCAATTACAGGTTTTAACTGAATTTCATTCATTATTTCCACAGCTGCTGCAACTTTCACTAAACCCGATTTTTCACTTCGCCTCCTTTTTTGGAAAAAACTTTTTCTAAAACCTTCATCCTGCCATTTGTTGCCTAAATCACGATCGTATAAAGTAATGGAAATCATTACAAAATGGCACTCCGAGGAGTGATGAGAAACTGAACTGTTACGACAGAAACATTTAAAACAGACTGTCAAAATTAAACTGTAAATTTGATAATAAATGCACCCCTGCAAAGATAACAAGTAATTACCTTCTGCATTAGAATAAGGCGGAAATCCATTAAGCCCCTGAAAAAGACGATTTTTTAATTACTTGAACAGAAAAAGAAATCCCATATAAATTTCAACGGAAAAGGATAAAGGTAAGAGATTTGCACAAATGCTTTACTTTAGAGAATCTAGAACTAGGCCCAGGTAAGTTTCTTTGCAATACTCCATCTACTTCGCTGATATGAGTTGCAAGATGTACGTCATGAGTGGAAATCTCACTACTTGAAAATTAAACAATTATAAAAAAAAAAAAAAGAATTAAAGTACGATGTCAAATGACAAAACCCCAAAGTACCAAAATAAAAAACAATAATCTTCAAGCTACAAAGAAGGAAAGCCAGTACCAGACACCAGCAAAAGCGGAGGATGCCACAACTTGCGGTTGTAAGTCGGAATTCAGACTACTCCTGCGTTTGCTATCATGACTCTAAAAGTGGTAAACTAAAAAAAAGAAAATATGTGAAAAAACATATAAAGCATAAGTAGAAAGAAAACTAACATTTCAAGCAAATACATACTTAGACACAACTTTAACAGCAAATACTAAAAACTATCTACCGCACTATCTACTTATTTTGTAACAACCCCAATAACGAAGTACTGTAACTAATTTGCAGTTTTTAGTGGTACACTTCTACATTTCCCCTACGATCCTATCCATCCTTTCTTAAGCAAAATCAAGCATGTAAAAACTCAAATAAACAGAAATGCATTTGAAAAATCCAAAAAATCAACTAAAAAAATTCGAATGCCAGAGAAAGACATCTATTAAGTGATCCAACCCAAACTTGGTGTTAAAATGCACTCTAACTTACGCCAACCCTTTATTGCTACCTTCCAGGTGCCCTTAGAACCAAATTTTAATTATATTTAGGAGTAATAAAAAGTCAAAAATTCAGGGACCAAAAACAAGACCTCCATTATGATCTTCGTTCACTTCTCCAAACATAATAAAAAACAGTGCGAAAAAAACCCCGACAATCAATTTTGTAAAAATTTTTTTTAAAAAACTATTCCACACAATAATTAGCCGACGTTAGTAGTCAAAGTAGTCAAATCCCAAAAGTTTCAATAACTGCTGGATTCTTTTTACAATGCTGAGGGAGTAGTCTACAAAGTCGGCCACTCAGTTTAGGCATAGTGATGTTGCCAAGATGGTTTCTACTCGAAACAATTAAAAAAGTTCAATAAACGTGAAAAACAAGTCAATAATTACTTATTACTACAACTGCTGACTCCTTAAATACCTTACGTCCTCAGTGGCAGCATAAAATCTAACTGGTAATGAACAAATAATTTATAACCTTTTTGCTTCCTGTAAAAACATTATCATTTTCATCATCTGACGAATAAATCATCTTCATCCATGGCGAATTTCTCGAGGTGTTGTTTTCAAAAACTTCTTCTGAAGAACAAGGTCGAAGCGCTGGCGCAAAATACTTGTCAGAATAACTTTCTTCACCAATTTCTGGTGAAGTGGATTGACTGTTGCATACCGCAGTATCATAACAGATCTTCCCAACTAAAGAATATGAGATTGAAACTACATATAGAGAAAAGTCAGCAATAGTTTAACTTCAAAAACGTTTTTTAAACAAATAACAATTGTGCAAAATATCAGAAAGACACGTCATAGCGACTAGAAAATTCCTGAAATAAGAATAAGCAAACCAGAGAATCCCTCCTTTGGAACTGATTTAATAACGAACTCTTCTTGTTCTGCTTCATTAATCTGAAAAATAGAAGGTTAATGGAGTAACAAAATACTTGAGACAAACAGGTATCCATGTCACTACACACCGTTTCCCAGAAAAAAAAAACGCCTGAACTCATTCCCGTAAACTTTTAGGTCCTCCCGAACATATAAAAAGTCCTTTACATAAATGAACAAAATACTCAGAACAATGAGGAAAAAAGCAGGATCCGCTAACTTCATGAAGAAGCCTCTGCATAGAATCACTCAAGGGTTGCCGATTACACTTCACTTCCGAGCACTGGCCTTTTGAACTTAGATATTTCATGCTGGATGTAACATAACTTCTGTCACTTTTCCCTTTTTTCTTGACTGCCTCATAATAAGCAGAATCATTAAATCCACCTGAATGGTCATTCTCCTGTCAAAATAACATCTATAACAGTAAAGCTTCTCTGAACAATTGATAAACTCAATAATGCACTAATTATTAAAAGACTCTTTCAATTTAGTGTTACCGAATGCAATTCATAACCGCAAAAAGTTGGTAGCGGTTCGTGTAATACAACTAGAAAAAGAAAATTTTCTGATTCCTCAGTAGGGTTAAGCAAAGGTTCGGCAAATAGTCCAACAAGCCAATTTTTTCGACTTTTCGGCTTAATCTTGGCAAAAGTTTAAATTAACTTCTAAAGATCAACTGCTAAATTCTAAGTTCAACTCAATTCTTTTGAAATGAAGGTTTGTCATTCTTTTACCCCTCCCGTTTCACTTAACTTCAAAATTTAGAGGAAAGCCAAGAGCGGCTGTGCCCTCAAAAACGTTGCTCCAGTCAGTGGGCGTCGATAGGACACATTTAAATGATGGCTAATTTGTATGGCGCTGCTAAATTATAAGAGAACGACGGGTAACATGAATAAACATAAAAAAAGCAAATAAACAGGCATAACAAGGTTTGTAGAAAAAAAGCACGAGTCGTTAACAAACGCCTTCTACTTAAAAACTGTCACATATGAAAAAAAAAAAGTCAAAGAACACGTGAGTGGAGAAAAACCAAATCAATTAAATAACCGCTATGTGAACAGTAAAATGCCAACTCAAATATATCTAAGCTTTCCGCCACCTCCCACAAAAACTATGTTGCACAAGAAAAGAAATATAAAAGTTCTAATCTCAAAAAAGTAACTGGCGAAAGAAAAGCGTACGTCGCTGAAACACAGGTCCTCAAACAAGCAGCTAGGTGTTGCGTCATTCTTCGACTTGAGATTTTTTTTCTGACCACGTTTTGGCATCACTGATAATCAAAAACAGTGTCTGAAAAGGTTATTAAACGTTACAATAAAAGTTTGTCATAGGTGGTTAGCTTCTTGAAGATGCTTTCGCGAAAAAATTCAACATTCAAACTATTTGTTATACCAAAAAATATCACTAGCCATACTTTAAAAAAAAAATACAAATCTGAGAATCGCTGTCACTAAACCCAGCGTTTAATTAAAAATCTACTATAATTTCTTTATAATGCGAACAAAGCAAAAATTTTTTTTCTATGCGTGAATCCTTAAGGACTACGTGAAGCTGCTAAGTGAAGTATTAATCAACGCAGTTTCAACTTGAGTCTATCTCGTCAAATGAAACTTTAAAACATTTAAAATGAAGCATTCACCCAACATTCTTGCAGAATTTGGCTATACTGAGTCGTACTCCTCCATTACACTACAAACAACCTCATTTTTATGTTCCAAAAATAAAAACTGCCCGCAAACTTGAAAGTGAAAGTGTCGAATAACTCCTTCCAAAAACCTACCTGAATTTAGACAAAATCGAAATTAATTTTCTCATACCTATCGCTCAATAAGACATATTAGTTCCCCATCCATACACTTCAATGTTTTTTTTCTACTTTCGCTGCGTTGCACAAGACTGTCTGCTTCCAATGCTCAATCCTTGTGACTTCTATTGTTTGGTGATGCAAACTCATTCTTCAGAAATCTACTTTATACAATATATCACTATTCAACTTACAATGTTTCAAAAACCCCTTCAAAAGGACTAAACC